GCACTCCTACTCTTTTCGGGATGAAAGTATGAGAGGAGAGAGAGAGCATGAGTGTGAGAGAGAGAGATGTAATGACCCGCCAAAAACACAGACTGAGAACACTGCTGATTTTTGGGATTTGCCGCTGGAATGAATGCCTTGCTGAAATTCACGCATTCTGTTGTGATTTCCATGTCTGTGTGTGTGCGTGCCTGCTGGTTTGCATGCCTGTCTGAGTGCTTGTCGGTTGAGTGTGTGTATGACCCGCAAGGGTACTTGTTGGTTGAAGGGCCCCGCATGGCCGGTACTTACCTGTGGCCATGACTTTGAGGGTTGCAGGGGGGAAAACATTCAAGTAGCGGGGGTAGGCCTGCAACACTTAGAACAGCGGGGAAAAACACTCCAGTAGCAGGTAGGCCGGTACCACTCAAGTGGTGGTAGGGGTGTCGGTTACTGGAGGCCGAGCAGAAGAAGACAAAAAGTTGGCATTTTTAGAGGCCCAGTAGCGGTAGGATAGCGGTAGGCCGGTACCAGTCCAAGTTGACCGGGTCTAGGGCCTGTACGGAGGATAGCAAAGCCTGCAATGATGTTTCCCTCCGAAAGGGAGGGGTTGTTGGGAGGCCGCTCGGTCTAGGAAGTCACCGCCCAGGAGGCCGGTAGGCCGCTATATCTCCAGGAAGAGCAAAGAGCTCTTCCTCATTTGCGGCGTGCAAGGATTGGCGACATGCTGCTGGAGTGCAGCGCTGGACTGGTGCAGCGCTGCTTGGAGGTGAAGGGCCGCTGGAGCTCAGCCTGGCTATGGCGAGCAGTCCAGCTTGAGGAGGAGGAAGAAGGGGGCATAGTAAGAGAGTGGCGGGGCACTTACCTGGCTATGGTAGACACCATCTTCACCACCTTGTTGGGCGCTGCATCTCGAAGGCCCCAGCTGGGGTAGTGTGTCACCGGGGAAGCTCGAGGCAGAGTCAGGCATGGCGGACCAGGCAGCAGCGGCATAGCTGCTTTGGGTTGTCCTTTGGACATCAGCGCAGCACCATAGCTGCTTTGGGTTGTCCTTTGGACGTCAGGGCAAGACCCTCATTAGTCCGCCATGGCCTATGCATGAGAGAGGAGGCTGAAGGAGGGAAGCCATAGCTATGGTGGACTGGTTGTGTTGTTGTTGTTGTTGAGTTGAGTCAGCAGTAAGAGGGAACTTCGGATATTGATTCTGGTCCATCCATTCATTGTTATTATTATTATTGAGAGAAGAAGAAGATTGGTGAAGAGAAGGAGGAGGAGGAAGGTGGAGAGAGAGAAGGGGGAATTATCATTGGTCTTGCTGGTGTACTTCTTCTTCTTCTTCTTCTTCTTCTTTCTCTCTCCTCTGGTCTTTATCTCTTTGCAAGTGCTTTCATCTCTTTCGCAATTGGGTGGCGTTGTCTTTCATTGTGAATTTGCACTTGGGAAATGACCAGGATCGTAACAATTGGTATCGGAGCGGACTTACTTGCTGGCGAGAGATGTTAGTCGCCCTAAACCTAATTCCGAATTAGGTCATGGCTAACCTTACTTCGGATTAGGGTTGGAAGTTAGGGTTAAGTGGGGCAGTGAGGTATGTGGATACTGCCCCCACCTGGTTAGGTCATGTAGGGTCGACATTTGACCTGACCAGGTTGACTGAGTGAATGGATAGGGTGGCAAGACACAAAGGAGGCTGATTGGAGTAAGCGAGAGGGAGTAGAGAGTGAGAGGTACTCGCACCTGGAATCTGCACTTCAAGAAGACATTGAGTGACTTTTGGGCTTCCCCTTAAGAGGGAGACTTGATCGGAGGCTGCCATATCTGCATCGAATTGCTGCACGTTGCTACTTTGGTCTTCAGACATCGATGGGGGATCCGGCTTTGCAACAGGGGTGTAGGAAGCAGAGGTCGCCAAACAAAATTTTCCTCCCACCCATATCCGACCCAATCCAAGCCTTCATATATCATGCGTACCCACACCCGGTGCCACCCAGATTATTATTTTTTTTTTTTACCCAGACCCACCCCACCCGAGCTAATTAATTTTTTTTTGTACCCATGCCCAGTTCACCCAGCATCTACAGTAAAATCCTTACCCAGACCCAGCCACACCCAGGCCTAAATTTTCTCCACCCGCATCCCCCCGCACCCATGACCAATTTTCATCCACCCATGCCCAGCCGTACCCATGCCCAAAGTTTACGACCCACCATGCACTCTCTCTCTCTCTCTCTCTCTCTCTCTCTCTCTCTCTCTCTCTCTCTCTCTCTCTCTCTCTCTCTC